GTCTTCCCTTTTCGCGCAACAAAATCTATATATATATATATATATATATATATATATATATATTAAGTATATAAATATATATATATATAGAAATCCTCAAATATATCTGAAAACGTGAAGGAAAACTCAACAGCTCCACTTTGTCAACTCAGCTTATTTGCATACACGTCACTGTAATATGACACAAACTCACACACATACACGTGTGGAAAAAGAATAAAAAACACTATGGTGATGGAAGTGGAGGAACTTGCTCCTTTCCACATCCCTGTTTTTTTTTTTTTTGTTTTTTGTTTTTTTTGCAGCGTTGACTTGCAGTCTGCCGTCTCCAGTGATAATTAATAAAATCGGTGATTCATTTACTGTGCTCTGGCAAAACCACGGAGTTGGAATCAAACACAGATCCAACGCCCTTTTTAATTGGCTGCCAGCGTTTGCACGGTTGTTTCCACAGATAATCATTATGAGAAAACACTGACCCTCCTCCTCCTCCCTCTCACTCACTCTCACTCTCTGCCCCCTTCTGCTTGTATTCCCTTTCCATTTTCCATCTCTGTCCCCCCTCTCCCTTTACCTCCTCTCTCCCCCAGGTTTTTAATATGGGAGCCTACCAGGAAAAGATCAGAGCCTACGGCATCCTGCCTGCCCACAGAAATGTGGCCGGTCTCAGGGACATAATTCTGGGTGAAAGCAAGGCCTATGTGTTCCTGGACAAAGACTTTGGGGACATGCACACTCTGGTGAAGAGCTGTCGCAGGCTGGACGAGGAGCATGCCTGCAGGTTCTTCCGTCAGGTGGCTCTGGCCGTGACACACTGTCATCAGGCGGGCATCGTGCTGGGCGACCTGAAACTTCGCAAGTTTGTGTTCGCTGATGAGAAAAGGTGAGATGTTCAGAATGCAATTTTGCAGTTGTATTCATACTAGAAATGTTAAACAGTTCAAATCCTCAGTCGGATTAATCACACAGTAGCTGTAGTTAAACACCACTAATTATGGATCATTAAATTCAATAACATACCAAAAGGAAATGTGCCAAAAACCACATTTCAGCAACGCAGCAATGCAATTAAAAGGATGCAGAATTGCTAGCAAACCCCTAAAAGCAGAAGTAATGGCAGGTGGGAGATACAGGATATGGTCACTACGGGAACATTCACAATTGTAGCATATAAAAATACTACTACTATTACATTTTATTCTGAGCTGCAGAGCATTGAAAATAGTGAACAGCATCCTCAGAAGTGTACAGCGCCACAGATCGATGAGCCAGTTTTAATTTACCATTTCAACTCACTTGTACCTAATGGTTCAGTGCATTCAAACAGCATTTTATAGCACCACCTGCAGGGGAGGGAAACGTGCCAGAATCATTGCATCCTCTGTAACTGTACCACTCGTCAATATCACATTCTTTTAAAGAAAACTTCACTACTAGAAGATCCTACACACTGTACTTTTAACTTTATTTGGAAGCTGTCAGACATGAATACACACAGAGTGGTGGGATGTGCCAGGAAACACAGCAATCATGGCAGCAGCTGATACACACAGGCCATGTGTGCAGATACCACCGTGGGCAGAAAGAGAGTAGGAGGTTCTGTACTTGTGGAGGCAGCCTGCATGGCTTAGTGAAACATTTTTCTGTCTCCCTTTATCACCCTGGATGTGTCCCTTAATATGTGCATTGTTGGTTTTGTTTGTGTGTGTGTGTGTGTGTGAGTGTGTGAATGTAGTAGGTGGTATTTTGGCCGGGCTGCGAGACGAGCCTGAATGAGACAATCGGCCCCTTCTGTGATCATAATATATTTATCACTCATAATTTATTTATAAATAACAAAATGGCGAGGCATCAGAATAACAGAGGCCTTCATCAAGGCCTTATTCACTTTTATCCGAGGAGATCACAGAACTACTCTTTGAACTTGCTTCCACACACACACACTGTCACAAACACACACCCGCATTGTCCGCATCACTGACTGACACTATTCTGTTGAGAAACACACACGACCTCTGCTTACCAAACTATTTGTCGCCTCTTTGCCCTTGCGTCACTCTCTTTCCTGTAAGTTCCCGACGATCCCACCCCACCCTCGACTTTCCAAAGGCCTTTTTTTTTCACATGGAGATTTTTCAACAGTAACATTCTCCAGCCTTGAGCTCGAGGTCGAAGGTCAGGATGGATGAATGAGTGCAGACAGCCAGTGAGAGACGATGAAGTTGGTCATGTCCCTGTGATAGCTATACAGCTGCAGAGAGATGAGTCACAGTGTATATGTGCAGAGGGGAAAAAGCTGAGGGGGGGGGGGCATAACTCAGTTTTCGCGTGCCAGTGCGTGTATGTGATAGCTACGCTCTCTGAGCTGCAAAGCTGTGGTTGACTGCAGGCTTGAATGGCTGTGTTCATTATACAGTTAACTGGCTCACGGCACTGCAACACACATGCTGGTGGAGCCACCCTGAGATCTACTTGACCCTGGAATTGTGGGATGACATTTATAAAATCACTGTCCCTCAGCGGGTAAGAAACTCAAATATATTGGGTAAACAAAGCTTCAAAGTTAGATGATAAGAATCAAATAGTTCTCCAGAAAATTAATGTGTGCCGCACAACAAGTGGGCCACATTTGAATTGCAAACAGGAGCTTTTCTTAACCTTTTCTGGAATTGTTTTGTTTCTTTAGACTACCCAAGTAAACACTGGGCAATGCCATGGCCAAGACAGAATGATCTTTACCGATCTGAAATTGTGGTGTGCGACCTAAATATTTATAAGCACAGCCAGACTTTGAGGCCATTATAATAAAGATAACATATAGATCTGGGCCACACTGCGATGGTGCAGCACAATAAGATTGTATCCCAGAGCAACACATTTAACTCCATCAGTCTCTAGATGGGATAAATGGAGCCATAACATTTAAAGTTTTGCAAAATTTCATATGCTAATCATCTATTGTGGGGTCACAAGTGCTTCTTGCTGCACGTCTACCTTTATTTGGTCACATGTTCTCTAGAACCAATCATTCAAGCAGGCATCTCCAAGACGCCAACAAGAGCAGCTCTGATACAACAACTCAACAACGAAAAGCTCAGGCTGGAAATAACGGAGAAAGTCACAAGAATTCGATAAATGCTGTACCTGTAGCTGTACACACACACACACACACACACATACAGAGAGAGAGACAGAGAGAGAGAGAGAGAGAGAGCATACAGTATGAAGCCAGTTTAGAGAAGGTGACTAGCCCTGTGAAGCATGCAGTGCTTCACTGCCAGGCCAGCCTTCCTGTGCGTCATTGATGTGGCAACAGCCATTTGAGGGTAATTATGGGATGGCTGGCGCCGCGAGTGTGGGACCCAGGTGCAGATAGCCTCAGCGCTAGGAAGAGGGAGCGAGAGGAGGAGGAGAAAAGATATGTACTCAACAGAAGGATGAGTCATTCTCTCCACCCTTCTAACGCTCTCTCTTTGTTCTGCTCCTTTCCTGCCTTCATCTCTCTCTCTCTCTCTCCCCCTCTCTCTCTCTCTCTCCCCCTCTCTCTCTCTCTCTCCCCCTCTCTCTCTCTCTCTCCCCCTCTCTCTCTCTCTCTCCCCCTCTCTCTCTCTCTCTCCCCCTCTCTCTCTCTCTCTCCCCCTCTCTCTCTCTCTCTCCCCCTCTCTCTCTCTCTCTCCCCCTCTCTCTCTCTCTCTCAACTCTCCCGACTTATCTCCTCCGCAATCTTTGTGTCAAAATATCACTTGCTTTCTATCTTGATTTTTGTAGCCGTCACTTGTTTCATCCTCTCTCGGGCTGTGGGTTTCTCTCTCTGCAGCCACTCGGTCTTGACGATGGAGTGTCTAACAGAGTCAGCCTGCCGTGAATGGGAGATAAAATAGCACACTTCTGCTGCCTGTGTCCGACTCACTGCGTGTGTCACTGCGAGAGCCAATCCCAGCAGATACAAATTAGTTTTTAACTAAATAAACTGGCCACCCGTTATTGGATAAAATTAATAATCATTAAAAAAATATTTGTCGTCATTTTCTACATTTATTTTCATCTATATTTATTTATCAAAGTGTTGGGGGTCGTCTTCTGCAAATAGACTCCCACAATAAGAACTGCTCGACTGGTGCTGGGCGACATGGACATCCTGACGCTGACATGGCTAAATTTAGCATTGTGTGTGAGAAGAGGAGCTGGAGGAGGAGGAGCGGGTGGAGGGTCTGGGGTTGTATATTTATGTATGTGTTTATATGAGCATGTGTGTGCCAGGAAGATGTTTAGAATGTGCAAATAGGGTCACCAAGTTGAGTTTTCAGGTCAAAAGTTCAAAAGTGTGTGTGTGCGTGTGTGTGTATTTATTGCATTTCTTTGTCTCTCTGCATATTAAAGTAGTTCTGGTATTATGTCATTTGTAAACAGACAGTGTGCAGCTCCTCTTCCTGGCCTAAATGGGGCGCTGTAATATAGTTTTAAATATCTATTTTTATAAAAATCTTAACCCATTCATATGTGTTGTATCATATCATTTTATTGTATTTCTGCCCACTACTGGGTAAAAGCAGGAGTAAATACAAGTATCTCAGCAGAAGAACACATTATATCAATCTGGTGGTGCATAAAAAAAGGTTTTTGTTGTTTATTTTCCAGGAAATTCCTGGAATTTATTTTTTTGGGTAATGAGAAGGTTTATTTTTCCATGTTGATGTCAGTCTATGAAATGTTTCAGTGATAAAAAAAAACGAGGTCTCCGACAAACACGCACGTAGAACATCATGTACTTTGGTGGAAACTTTAAGAAGATAATTCCTGACAACGTGACATTCATCTCTCAGCCACTCTCTTTGTGAAGCGCTGATTTGAGCGAGTACTTATGAACATTATGTTCTCAGGTTTCACTCTAATGTGCAAAGTTACTTTCTGTACAAGATAATAGATGATGTCACTGTCATGGCATCTCTCTCAGCACACACATCCTAATTTAACTCACCCCCACTGCACTGAGTCAGGGCTGTTCTGTGTCAAACTAAGGCTGAGGCTGAAGAGACGAGAAGGTGTTGGGAGGGGACAGGAAGCTGATAGAAAGCTACACAGACACACATCTGAGTGTAGTTTTTAAAGGTCACTCCAAATGTCCTGACCTTATTTCACTTTTCCATTCCAGGACACATGTGAGGCTTGAAAGCCTGGAGGACTGCCGCGTCCTGGAAAACCCAAACAACGACTCCATGTCAGACACCCATGGGTGCCCAGCTTACGTCAGCCCAGAAATCCTCAGCGGCTCTGCGCCTTATTCAGGAAAGATGGCTGACATGTGGAGCCTGGGGGTCATGCTGTACACTATGCTGGTTGGTCGCTACCCGTTCCACGACCCAGACCCAGCTACGTTGTTTTCTAAAATCCGCCGAGGCCAATGCTGTTTGCCAGAGGGCTTGTCGCCTAAGGCCAAGTGTCTGCTGCAGAGCCTTCTGAGGAAAGAACCCTCTGAAAGACTCACAGCCACTGAGCTGCTGGCTCATCCATGGTTCCACCAGGCACCGTCATCGCAGGAAGTGACACCAGGTGAACAGGAAGTCAGCTCAGCAGAACAAATGGTGCCATCCTTTGACGTGGAAGAGGATGATAACCTGTTTTGTTGACCGATTTGTTTCAGCTTGGTCAGGCTGAGGGACCAAACAGACCTTTTTAACATGGATCCATTATTTTTTGTTTTTACCCTGGCACTTTTGTCTACAGTTATGTGTGTGTGTGTATATACACCCTTAAGCTTTCTACAAAAAACTTACTGTACTGTATTTTGTCGTAGTATTTGTGTTACCTGCTAAGGGCATTGTTCACGTTGATCACTCATTCTGTTCCTGTATGTGTGTTTTTTTTAAACTATTTGGTGCTAAATGAAAATGTGAGGATTTTAAATATTTTCTGTGGACTAAAATGGGTGAGTCATGAAGATTTCACCCAAGGCTAATCGAGGTCACCAATGGACTCATAAGACTGCAGAAAGTATCAGATGAATTCTGAAGGCAAGGCGGTCAGATCAGGATGTTGTTCCTCACACTCTGACCAGGCCTGAGGCTCTGCAGGCTGACTCACCCACCAGTCCGAGAAAGGCAGGAGCACGGCCTCGACGTCTCACAGCAGGCAGTGACACGAAGTGAGAAAAGAAGCCTTAGCGCAGGACTCACGTGTCACACTCAGCGAGACTCTACCAGAAGTGTCTGACTGCCAATCTGGCAACCCCATAGCAAACAGAGAGCGTTTTACAAATCTCACACCAGACACAGAAGTTAGACAGGGCGTTACTGCCACAGTGACATTATCACACATACATTCGACTAGGCCAACGGTTAGACAAAACCAGAGGGCCTGAATCATGCTGAACGATTAAACGTAACGGTTGCTTCCAGACAAAAAGCGTTTATTCACAGCGAAGAGATGCTTTTTATCATTTTTCGCTGGCAGGCAGTGTGATTAACTACACAGAGCTTAGCTTAACATCAGGGTTAAAAATAAATAGTGGAGCAGCTATGTTGTAAAAAGACAATTTGACAATAAACCAGTGGTTCCCAAAGTGGGGGGCACAAAGCTATTGCAAGCAATAGAGAGCAAGAACATTAATATCAATTTAAAATGTTTTTTGTTTCCTATAGTCATGAATTGGGAAATCACACCGATTTCTAATCTCTCCTTGTGAATTTAGCATAGCATTTTTATTGGAATTACACTGTTTTAGAGGTTTTTAGGCAACAAAAGCTGCGATGTTTAACGCAGGGACAATAGTTCCATTTACAAAGGGGAGACACTGCAGGAAGTTATGGAACCACTGCATTACAGAAGTGAAAATACAGATAAAAAACATGAAATAGACTTTGTTTATATAATTTGGGTCTGTCCTGTTGTAAAAGTGTTCATCTGTGTTGCGTTAACAAAGCCTGGCTGTGCTGAGCCTATCACTGTGTTTCATAAATGGAGTAGCTCTGAATCAGTCAGAGTCAGGCGGTGTTTGATGTCGGTTGTCTGATGATGACTCAACACTCGAGCGTGTCTGCAGAGAATGGTTCTGACCTCGGCAGGAAGAATCTGTTCCGACTCTTTCACCTCTTTAATGGTACTGTTTTCACCCCTCTGTTCCCTTTTTGTTCCTATTTTTTCCCTTCAGCTGAAAGCTATGGATCCCTGGAGACTATAATCACAGTTAGTGACATGTGTTTCAGTGACATTGAGCCACTTGGGCTACTGTACGTAGGTTCTCCTATTTGTTTTAATCTGGTAGAGTCAGTTTGACAACGGTACTACATCTGGTGCATCTGCACTGTGTATTTAATGTGTTGTTCAAGTGGTAGACGTTATGACAGTTTCTCTTCTTCCCACAGAAATGTAATTTAAGAGCTTCAGGAGTTTTCTTTAGCTCACACACACAGAGTGACATGACGCGGGTGCACAAATTTGATATTGCACTGTGAAGTATATATTTGTGACGGAACCTAGAGGCTTTCACTGGTCCTGACAGGTAACACACAGAGATGTATCAACTGTATAAAAGGCTGTAAATATGTACTGTATATTTGAAATATGCGTGTTAAATAAAGTTCACATTTTTTCATTTTCATACAGATTTTTTCTTAAATCATTACTTGTCTTTCCCTTCCTTTTTCTATCTCAGTACCCCCCTCCCTCCCCCAAAACACACTCACACACACCACCTCTAGCAAACACCTGCATATTATACAGCTCCACTGCATGCCTGAAAGGTTTCCCTGCAAGAATTCTCCCCACTCCACTCTTCATCACTTTCTCATTTTCCTCACCGCCTTGACCTCGCAAGTGGGGGGAAAAAAACGACTCCTCTAGTCCCTGTTGCTGCATGAAACCATTTACTCTCCTCTGACCTTTGGGTAATGTAACATTTACCCCCTCAAACACACAACTGTCAATAATGGGTCGGTAACAATTCATGAAACACACAAGAGAAAACCCATTTTTGTCAGGTTTTTTTTCCCACCTTACGGGGAGAACGACAACAAATTCAAAAAATGTTCTCCAAACTAAAACCTCTAAGTGCAGGTATTTTCGTGACTCACTGTTTGACCTGTAAGTGCTTGGCATGTTTTCACCCTTGGTGTGTTTTGACTACCCCAGGCATGGCTGGGCAGGGCTTGCATAAGCACCGTGCGTGCGTGAGTACATGCGCATACCTGCCTGCATGCCCATATATTTTTGTTTGTGTGTGTGTGTGTGTGTGTGAGAGAGAGAGAGAGAGAGAGAAAGGGGAGAGAGAATGGGAGCACAAGAGTCAGATTAAGTATCAGCAGGGTAGCTGGGGTGCCTCAGATGCTGGGAAGCAGCCAAACTGAGGATTGCCTAACACGCCAAGATCACTGATGACTACAGGGGCCCAGGAATTGGGTTAATAATAAGTGGAGTTTCAAGCTTAGGCTAATGGAAGAGTGTGTGTGTGTGTGTGTGTGTTCCTGGTGTGGTTATACGTCTGGGGATGTTTTTCATATGATTTTAAGGTTTAAGATGTATATTAAAGTTGGAGTAAAGATGGGGTGAAAATGAAGAATAATTAGGTGAGGTATAGCACTATGGCTATGTGAAGTGCTCACAAAACCGTGTGTGTGTCACTGAGGTTTTGTTGTGTAAATACGTTGTGTAAATAGGTGTATGTTTGTCGTCATACACTGAGGTCCATCTACTCATCATCTGTTTTGTTAAGCCTTGGAACGTTTCTAGGCCATTTCCCAGTTCATATTTGCAGAGATTCAGACAACCTACACCCAGACCAGGATTTCATCTTATCACAGACATAAACTGATAGATGCAGTACAGAGTACTGTGTTTAGCTTACTGAAATATATATACAGTATATATAAAATATATTTATTTGTTGCCTTTTGTTATTTATACACCCTTTTGCACCAACAAAGTTCTAAGCTTTGATATCAACATAAAGACCTTGAAAGGAAAAACAGAGCAGTGTTGAAACCAGGTCAGAGCATCAGCATTAACACTGAGGTCAATGAGTCAAAGGCATCAACTGTATAGACTCATACAGAGAACATTTCTCATCAGACAGAAATAGTTAAAGGGTTTTTATCTTGCTTTGAAATTATGACGCCACATATTTATGACATATTTCTAATGGTGACACAACATAGTGCTAGCAGCTACCCCATAACCATATATGGGCAATCTCATGGCCCACGTGGAAACAAATACATTTGCCTGCCACTTTTAGTCAACAGCCAACACTGAGCTCACATACTTGCCAAACAAATAGAAATCTTTTTATGTAAACCTTTCCATTTAACAAGACAACAAACAAAAATACTTTAAAATAATTTGTACTGCAAGGGGAAATATCTTTCTACAAAAAGTACTTTTTTATGTTTTGCACAAAATAACCTTAAACTGATAAGTCAATCAATAAAATAACTTATTTCCAGGTGCAGTATATAGTATAGTTATTTCTATATACCCATCAAACATGTTGCTCTCCTTCCTGCAGGTGGTACTAGGTAAGCAACTGTAAAAAACAACCTTTTAGCCTAAACCTTTAGACAATATCCACCAGATAGCATTTATATTCTGCCCTAAACCTTTAGACAATATCCACCAGATTGAAAACCTAGCATTTATATTCTGCTAATTCATCAAATCATTTCCTACTTTAACATAGACAAAATAGGGTGAGGTTAGGCTTAGCTAAACTAACCCTGATAACTCTCTTTGCTCTTTTTTCTTCTTTGGGTTTTTAAAAGCAGGTTAGCACCCAATACGCTGCAGTGACAGTATTATACCTGCTGATGAGTAATTTACTACTTTACTTTATGCTTTGTTCATTTGTTGCCGAAAAATCTTGCTTACCCTAATTTTAACTTCAGGTAGGGCGAGGAAATACAAGTCTGAAATAAGTCAACCGCCTTTTTATTGATATAACATTTAACTTGTGCTTGTAGTTTCTGACTGGGGAAAGTTAGCTGTTTACGACACCAATCTTACATAATGGTCCCTCCTGTTCCCTCAGGCCCATGTTCTCTGAAAGTGCTAGTTATTTAGTGAATTGAGGTTGGATGTTAAGGGATAATCTCTGCTGTATTGTGTGGTTGTCTGGCTGAGATCACTGTGTCTCTTGCCCACAGGTACAAACCTTTATTCTTTGTAATCTGGGCTCATTAGGGCTTCACAGTCACAGCACAAAAACTTCCTCATGACGCAGCCTCCATCACGTCACAAGGAATTTCCTTGATCCCCAGTGAACTCACCACCTTTTAAAAATACACTGTGTACAGTATGTTACTGATTAAAATTCAAACTTTTTTGACGTGTGTTTCTGTTTTTCTAAACCAACCAAATTTCTACTCCACACGTTCACGAAACAGGGAAGTGAAGAAGCAGATGTGAGACCTGACAGATCTGACACCTGCTTGGGTTTTTTTTCCCTCTGTGATGATGTTTGGTTTGGAGCTTCTTCCTGGAACTCTCTGGCACGTTTGAGTGCCGCACTGATGCAATGGAAAGAGCTCGTTGTGTTTGAACAACTCTTTGACCTGATTTATTTCATAACACAAATCCCCCGGGGAATCTGAGCACCGACGCCGATCATAGTTCACCGGAGACTGAGCGCTTGTAATTAGTCTGGTATTTTCTACTGTTGTCGCACATCACACAGCCATACCTGGAATTCATTGGAACTCAGAGATGAAGTGACGTCTGGCGCCATCTGGTGGACAAATACAGAACTGCTGCTCGTTAATTACTTTTTTAACTACTGTACATTTTCCTTGTTTTTCTTACTTGTGAACTATTTTATGTATTTTAACACGTGCAGAAATTGTTTAAAGTTTTAAGTATTTAACATTTAAAAACTAAAAATGCTGTTTTTAACTTTATGCCAAAGAAAATACAATTTTGGCATTAAAATTTAAAAAACTGGCTAAAAAAGTAGTTGTTACACTGTCTTTAAATATAAATTTTGTAATTAAAATTGTAAAAGGTACAGCAATACTTGGCACTGGGAATATAAGCTATATATGACTTGTATTAACTGACAATACAATTAAATACCCTGATTATACACGCATTAATAGCAGAGAAGACTGCATGGACATCCTTTTAAATTTTGTTTTGTTTTTGGGATCATATTACAACAGAGACCTTCAACTATTGACTTGTTTTAATATCTGTTAATTAAACACAGCTACAGCTCTACTATTAAGTTATTGGTAATTTAATATGGATTATTATAATTTAAAAAACTACACATACATCTGACTTAGTGTTAGATTATGAGCTGGACATAAATCTAAAGCTGCCATTTTTCATTTCTAATCTGTTGTAAAGGAGTTACAGTTGTTTGTTGTTGACTGCATCTGGTTGCATGTTTGTACAACTCTGTGCAGACAATCAAGGTCGTTATCATCAACATCATAACTGAACCACAGGAATGCAGAAGTGTTCTTGTCCTTACAGACAAACCTGACTTATCTACTTATGTACACGCAGGAAACAGTGGAGTACACTGCTGTGATATCTTTGTTTCAAGCCATAATTAGATCATTTGTCACAACAAGCCATTAAACTGAAACTCCTGCACGCCGTACGTGAACAGATCCGGCCAAACGAAAATGAAACAGCTTCAGGTTTCATGTTTTTTCCTGTCAGTCTCGTCGACTGTTGGAGGTAGATTGGAGTCTGGAGTGTTGTCTGGGTCAACAGCCTCTCATGCAGCGACAGGAGAGGGATGAAGAGTAATTCTCTGATGAGGTTATTTCAAGCAAAGTGGCCCCGGGGCCTCTCTGTTATCACCAGGGCTGCTAGTGACGCACACAGAGGAAGCTGCAGGTCCTCTGATTTACACAGTTTGTTTATCATGGGTTGAGTGAAGCACAAAAAACACAAAACAAATCAAGCAATTTCAGTTTTTTTCGCCCACACCGACTGTTATCTGACATTCAACTGATAAACAAGGCACCTGTCATTGACCTACAGCGAGAATCTTCTCTCATTGTGACTCCTCAGGCTTCTCAATTTTAGACTTTATCTTTCTGAATTAAAAACAGAACATAAACACACTTTCACATTTTCTGTCCAGAATTAAACCACATTGATTTGATGCCAGGGGTGTAGTTTCATTGATTAAAGTTGCTGCCAGATCAGGATGATTTTCCACAAGATTAAAAAAAAATATAAGGTATTAACTCCGGTCTAGACAATACTATTAAATCAATCTCATTGATAAACTGAAGACAAAATACGAGAAATCTACAACGAAGTTTAAGTTAATCGTATTCACAGGTTTTAGGTTAGACAAAATGTGACCACAAGGCGGCAGTGTTTTCCTTCTTTATGTCGGATTATATCATTTGGAGAAAACATTTATTACTACGATCAGACGAAAATAAAGTTACGCGATCATGTGGACTTGAACTGGGTGATAAAAAATAAGATGCCGAGTGAAAAGGAGCAGTGATCTGATCGTTCTTAAGGCTTAATGAGTTTCTTTGTCCAATGAAATCTGAACAATACACGTGAGAACAGGATTGGTGTAAATTCATTTTCATGCAAAGGACCCCCAAAATAGTCAAAGTCAAAGGTATATTTTATGAAATTGCATTATATTTGAAACTATACATAAATATATAGCGTCAAGTATAATTATACTTGACATTCAATACAACACTATTCTGATAATACACATTTGTATTTTTGTGTATGTTTTATTTTAAACATGCATATAATTAGTTTTCATGTGTTTATGTAAAAATAAATAAACCATAATTTCTACAGCCTGCTTGGAGTACCTGTACACACCCCCAGGGGACACGAAGCAGCGTAACAGACCTCTGCACTACACCACTGGGTTTTTTTTTTCTTCAAATGATGACTCATAATAAATTGCAGTGCACCATATCTTAATCAACAGTAAGACTTATTCCCCAAACTTTCATGGCAGCAATATTATTATCTACATTTTAAACGACATCCAAGAAAAGTCAAAATCAGAGAAAAAGACTTCATCATCATCGCCAACCTCATCATGTAGCTTTATCTCAAACTGCAGACAATATTTTAATTGTTTTGTTAAATCTTACATCTGTCCACAGAAGCAATTATTTTTTCAGAGACGCAGCTCAGTTAGTGAGAGTGAAAACAAGCAAGAGAACAACATAATAACAAATATTGACAATCTAACCATCTGATGTGGTTCATTATATGTAGACTTTTAACCAGCATCTCTGTCCTGAACTGATTTCTCAGATCTCAGTTATATCCAAATGAAATGATGATAATGGCCTAAGGCTTTTAAAATCTGCCCTTCTATAATTACTGCAGTATCTATCTGCTGTGATTACCATCCCACATACAGTACATGCTCACATATCATCTCTATAATGAAACAGATACAGGAATATCCTACATTTCATCCTTGACAACACATTTTTACAACTGAGCTTCTACCACACTGACATCACAGGCACCGAACAAATGGCATGACCATTTTATTACCAAATCATTTAGAGTTAAATCTTGTATATTTGTATCCCATCACACAAATTAAGCCTCTAAATCCCAAATCCTAATTTAAAAACAGTAGCTTAGCAGTTTCATTATCTGATGGCAGGGGAACTACTGTGTATGTTCCAAAGAGGTTGATTCAAAAATTAAACCATCACTGCAACGTTAAAGGGATTTTCTCTGGGATTGACACAACGCATCACAATGACTATGACTGCAGCCTTTCACAGAGTTTTGTGTTGTTTCCTATTCCACAGATTGGCCAACTGGCTAATAACCTTATACATCATCATACTGGACATTGGATAGACACAGCAGGTAGTATTGTACATTTCAAAAACATACAAAAACATTGTGTGTTCATTTCAGGGGTGTACAATAAGGAGATTGCGATCCAACAGTGGCAGACTAACGGATTACTGGCAGTCATATTGTGCCAAATAAGTACAGTATCCCAACATATAATGTAAAGAAACCATATATTCAATTTGTATAAGTAAACATAACAATTAACATTTTCATTTTTTTTTTGGATCATTATAGCCTGCACATTTAAAAAGTAGCCTGGTTTATTATTAGTCCTATATTAGAGTGTTAGTTTACACATGCAATATGCCATTTATGTACTTCTGCTGATACTTTTACTCATTCAACATACATACTATACTACTACTACTACTATACACATACACAGAAAATCAATCACATTCTTTGAAAACACATAGACACTATTAAAACCGAATTAAAAAGGCACACGTTACACTCTTGTTACCACAGTTAAAAAAAATAAATCAGTTGTTACTCACCCTTTATGTGACAGCCAGCCATCTTGGTTTTGAAGATTTCTCATCATACTGGTTCACTCTGACAGGCTCCGACAGGGATTATAATTTGAAGCAGTGGTTTTATCGTCACGTCCCAGATGATCTAGAAATATTTTTTTTTAATTACAATTGGAAATTGATTCTTTTGGCTATATTTGCGTTGATGAACTTTATATTTTTCTCTGCATTTTGACCTATGAAAACCATAAATAGGTTTAGTCAACATGTTTGAAAAAACATTCCTGGTACTGTATCAACATTGTTTTTTCCATTGTCTTCATGGACCAGGAAGTGAGATAACAAACCGGAAGTTTATACAGCTACAAGCGTCTCTTCACTTGTTAGCTTGACTTGTTTTCAACTTTACTGTACTTTTTTTCTGCATTATCATGTGGATTGTTTTTACTTTGATACATTTTCTTATAGCTGCTCAGTCTTATATTATTGTTGTTTGTTACGTTTCCTACCTACATTGCTCACATTTGACTTAAATTTTGAAACTCTTAAAGCTAACAGAAGAAGTTCTGTTAGCTTTTTGCTAATTGAAAATAAAATTATTTCAAAACATTTCTTAAAACAGTTACCATGGACTCTAATGATACTGTACTCAGAATATCTCGCACATTAATTCCGTTTGTTTTAGTTCTTTGTTGGCGCCATTCAATTGTATTTTGTGCTTGACAATTAACACCAAGTCAGCGGCGGCTAACCGATAAATGACGCTCGTGCGCTACCCTGTGGTATTTTGAATTTTAGTAAAACATTTAAATGAAAAAATAATCATTTAGTGTGACATATCCCGTTCCTTACCTCTTCGGAGCTTCCATTGTGCTAAAAACAGCGCCAAGTCCGTGCAGCAGCGTAGCTAATTGCTGCCCTGTTGCCGACAAGTGAAACGCAGCAACAGGAATTTAGCCAATCAGTACCGCTAAATCTGATGGCCTAACGTCGGTTGATTAATAGCGGTCTCCACCGTTTCACCCCTGCCACAAGGGGTCACTGGTGTAACAGTCAACAGTCTTGTGTGTAAAAATGTGTAAATACGATTAATCAATTTGTTTACACGTTCAGTTTCAAATCCAAAACCTATGTTTGTCCAGTAAGTTGTTTTTATTTTAGTGTAACAACGCCTCAACTTAAATACTGGCATTAAATAATTGCTCACAGCACACTGGTATCCTGCTTTTTCAGTCGTCACTGCCTAATGAAACTCTAAGAGTGCGTTGTATTTTATTGTTTGTTTTTTGTTTATAATGAAGCATAAAAACCAACAACAGCTTCTTAAAAATTCCACACACAGAGTGTGGCAATGGAGAATTCTTTAGGAGTAATTTTAAGTAACTGCATTGCCTTTATGTTCTTACAGCAACCTGATAAGTGGGTTCTGACTAATTGAAGTGAACATCATCGATCCTCAGAGGGGATCAATGAGGGATTAAACACACACTTATTCCTGACAGGCTGAATACACTCTTGTTTAATCTGTCACTGATGCCTGTGGTTTCCCTTTGAGTCTCACTGGCTTCTACTGACTTTTACTGAATGTTAGCATCTTTTTAATGTTTTAAAAACAGGGTAGATACTTAGGATGCCTGGACTGTGCCCAATATGACCGTTTGACAAATAGATTAGGTCATAAATCCACTTACTTACACAACCTTCCTTTCCTGCACAATTCTCTCCGTTAAGGGTGAGCTCCCTGTGGGTTATGAACAAGAGAGCAGTGAGAGGGAGTTAATCTTTCATTATTTAGCAAAGTACAAAGGATTGGCTGGAGGTCAGCTCATACTTCATACTTCACAGCACACATGGCAACGAATATTAAACCTCAGCATACTTTTAAAACAGAGCTGGACCCATACCGTGATTTTCCATATAAAAACAACACAACAGTTTCTTTTGAGCCCACGACACAGATGTGAATACCTAGGTTTTGTGCCATAAAAATAACAGTTTAAGGTGAACACAATCAAACCCACACTCTTCTGCAGATATCACATTGCAACTATAGTCTAGACAGTTGAAAGTACTGCAAGTCCAAAGGCAGCTACTGTTCCTGAGTTGATGGATGGGGAGGAGACAAGAACACACACACAGCTCTGCAGGAATGACAGACAAAGAGGAGGAGAAGCAAGACACGAGTTAGGAAGGAGAAGGCAGCCAAGTTTTGAAGAAGAGGTAAATGACAAAAACCAGAGTCCGTGAAAGGAAATGAAAGGCAGGAACCAAAAGGAGAAATATACGAGAAAGTGCGTTGGAGGAAATGCAGAGAGCATTTTTGCATGGCCTCACTCTGTGGGAGCCTTTAATTACCTTTCAGCGTCACTGCCTCTACTGGTCACGGGCTGCATGCGCTGGCCGCCTTTGATTATCCGGCCTTTGTGAGGGCTTCAGCCCGCTGTCATCCCGTAATTACATTTACACTGGAAAGCCTGGCAGCACGTCGCAGGGCTCACAGAACCATTATCGAAATGTTCTCCTTATCTTCTGGGCTGAACTTCACAGAGTGCAGGAACCTAAAGGTTAAGACGTTTATTAATCTAATCGTTGTGTTACTATTGTGTTTGAAATTTTTGTCTCTCTCTCTGTCTTTGTCAGTTTTTGAGCTGACAGAGAAGGAACGTGAAGGAAAAGTGACAGCCACGAACAGATCAAATGAGTAACAGATCACTAGGAAACTCTTAACCTTCACCATCAGCAGATCAGCTGCTCCTTCCCCACCTCAACTCCTTTATTGTGACATCAACCAGCTCTGTGTCATCTTACACTGCCTCCATCAGTCTTCTCTTTGCTCTTCTTTTCTTCCTCCATCTCTGAAATCTTATCTCCTCCGTTGTTTTTCAGGACAGGATCGCTGGACTTCAAAGTGTTTCTTCAAAAACAATCCAAATATTTCCTGAACAGAGTTGGCCATGGTTTTACCTGCGTTCGCTTGGAATGCTTTGAGCTCCACCTAGAACACTCAAAGTGAAATAAGATAAAGATCAGAAGCTTTCTGGATACATCTTAATACTTCCTTGTGATAAAAATAAAAAAACTAAAGGCCTGTGCCCCTCGTCCACATGAAACTAAAGGCCTGTGCCCCTCGTCCACTGCAGGGGGAGCTATACGTAAATACAGTTCGAATGCTCTGGTCCATGTGCTAAGATTTCTGTTTCCACATTGTTGTAAAAATAATACATTTACTATCTTAGACCAGCCAGGTACACATAAGAAATACTACAGACACATACTGCCCCTTACTGGATAACTTCGACCTGGGGCAGCAACAAAACCTAAAAAGAAATTACTTTTCAAAGACTGCACACTGTTTTATCATATTAAAAAAAACATTCTTTAACCTAAACGTGTCATTTTTGAGTATTTTCCTGTCATCTCTTCATCTCTGCCATTGTCTTTTCTATCCTACATCCCTTTTATGAGCCAAGCAGGAGGATCAGGAGGTGAAATAAGAGTTTCATGTCACAACCAGACAGCCCCCCCTCTGAGATTCTGAGAATCCACTTGTCTCTGGGTCACACCTGTTCCGACCTGACTCCTGCAGCTTCGTG